GTGTTTGTTTAGTTCAATGCTTTGCAGTTATCAGATTCATCCAGGAAGTTTTTGAATATCTGCAGCCAGTGTTTCCACCCTTTTTCGGCCGATGAGGAAGTCGGGTTAATTTCGAATCGTTCTGGTGTCAAAAATTTGTCCATAACAGTTTGTATTTTAGTTCTTTTTGCTGATTAAATTGTAATGAATAAACCTTCGGATTTCAAAGCTTTAATCAGCAACAGAGATAAATACTATATGAACTGTCATCAGCAAAAACATGACATAATTAAATGACAATTATTTAACTTGAATTCAGATTGACAATTCAATACATGAAAGGTTGCAAACATAATTTATCACAGTACCCATCCCTAAGAGAGATGAGAGGCACCGCCCTTGGTGACGTCATCGCCTACGTTAAATAGCTAGGCTGGATGATGAGCTTAAGAATGACCTCTTCTCGTGTGGAGGCGCACAATTAGCCTACTGTGGCCCAAGTGCTGTGGCATAACACTCTTCCAAACTTACAGACACAGAGGAGATTGGCGAAACCTTCAAGGTTTCATGAAGACGAAGGGATTTAATTGGTGCTTCCACTTACAGTGGCTAAATAAACCTTTACATACAGTGGCGACAATAGAGGTCCCGCCGCCATCTTGTTCCCAACCTCTTGTTACTTTTAAATATTAGTATATAGGATTTGAATGGACATCTATCATAAAAAATTGAAATCGACGTATTTGATGACCATTATTAGGTCCATCAAATACGTTGTTTTCCATGATTTATGATGGATGTTCACCTAAATCCCATATATTCATATTTAAAAATAACAAGGGGTTGGGAACAAGATGGCGGCGTTTTTAATATAAATATATGGGATTTTAGAACCAATCAAAAATGAGACAGCAATTGTCGCCACTGTGGGTTATAGAGTCACTGTACTTCCACTTATCTGTCCTTAACACTGGACCACCCTGTACAGGGTGGGCCAATTTGGACAGTTTCTTATGGAAACACCCTTTATTTTTAGAGATAGAAAAAAATGAACCCCCCACTCTTAGGCTCAAATTTCATGAAATTTTGATTGGTGCAAACCGCATTTTGATATCTCCAACCGTTTACCGCTAGAGGGCGATTCTCGATTTTGAGCTGTGAAACCTTCATAACTTTTTTATTTATGGAAATAATTCATTTCTGTAAAGACTTTCTGGAAGCACTTTTTTAAGTGGAATTCAGTGACGTTCTCAGCTTTTTTCTATTTAGCTCCGATTCCGAGATATTGACCAAAATCCGATTTTTTTCAATAGGACATCCTATATATTAATAGCTCATGGAAAAGCTCTGCTTTTGCTGATTTCAATGATATAAAATTCAATAGGTTTATCTCCAACGGTTTCCGAGAATAAAATTATTTCGATTTTTGTCATAAGATACAATGTGTTGGAAAAGGCCTTTATATCTGTAAGGAAAACGAGAAAGGTCTCTTTCTAACACATTGTTTCTTATGACAAAAACAGAAATAATTTTTTTTCTCGGAAACTGTTAGGGATAAACCTATCGAACTTTATATCATTGAAATCAGTAAAAACAGAGCTTTCCAATAAGCTATTAATATATAGGGTGTTCTATTGAAAAAAATCGAATTTTGGTCAATATCTCGAAATCCGAGTCAATTAGAAAAAAACTGAGAACGTCACTGAATTCTTCTTAAAAAAGTGCCTCTAGGAAGTCTTTACGGAAATCAATTATTTTCATAAACAAAAAAGTTATGAAGGTTTCACAGTATTGCTCAAAATCGAGAATCGCCCTCTAGCGGTAAACGGTCGGAGATATCAAAATGCGGTTTGCACCAATCAAAATTTCATGAAATTTGAGCCTCAGAGTGGGGGGTTCATTTTTTTCTATCTCTAAAAATAAAGGGTGTTTCCATAAGAAAGTGTCCAATTTGGACCACCTTGTACAGGGTAATTTTTTATATTTTCCCACCCCCCTTAACTTTTTTGTGCCACCGTGTATGAAAAAAATGTAAATGGGAAAGGTGTAGTGCTTGAAAAATAGTTCTCAGAAAACATAGTTTTGTTCATACAGGGTGTTGCAAAAAATTTAAAAAAGAAAAAAATATATTTTTTTAAATGGGACACCCTGTATATTATGACATTTCTGGATCCTGCGAAAAATTCTAGACATATTTCATGTATAATGTCATATACCTATCTTCAACTGTTTCGGAAATAATGACAGTAGAAAATTGATTGATTTTTTGCAATTTTGAGAGGCTGTAAAACCTAAACTGTTAATTTTACAGCAAAACCGATTTTACATTCTTGTCTCCAGCTTTTCATAAGCTAGCATTTGACACCAACTTCGAATTTAACCAGAGATTAAATTTAATTGGGATTTTCAATCGTGGATTAATTTTGAAGTTGGCGTCAAATGCTAGCTTATGAAAAGCTGCAGACAAGAATGTAAAATCGGTTTTGCTAAAAAATTACCAGTTTAGGTTTTACATCCTCTCAAAGTTGCAAAAAAGTCAATTTTCTACTGTCATTATTTCCAAAACAGTTGAAGATAGGTATATGACATTATGTATGAAATATATCCAGAATTTTCCGCAGAATCCAGAAATGTCATAATATACACCTTGTATATTATGACATTATTAAAAAAATATATATTTCTTTGTTTTTTAAACTTTTTGCAACACCCTGTATGAACAAAGCTATGTTTTCTGAGAACTATTTTTCAAGCACTACAACTTTCCTATTTAATTTTTTTTATACACAGTGGCACAAAAAAATTAAGAGGGGTGGGAAAATATAAAAAATGACCCTGTATAGGGTGTCCCAAATTCGAGGGTGACCATTGAGATATTGGAAACTATAAGAGATACGAGGTCGGTTAAATTATGGCAAAGTTGCGCAATTTTATGACTAATGAAATGCCGTTTGGAAATTTGGAAAATTCCGAATACTTCCGAAGATATTCAGAAAAAACCGAAATTTTGCAAAATCATTTCTATTTTTTTCTGAGTTTATTTGAAGAGCAATTTTGAAATAAATGTCACTTCTTCACAGTCACTTTTTCCTCTTTACAAGTTGTAGCTACCAAATTTCAGATTCGACGTTTCGTCTTTGGGCGGCCATCATCAACTTTATGTTTTTAAATATGGACCTGGATTTTTTATTTCAAATTTTAAGAACTTCTGAGGTCCCAGAACCTATGACGTATTGCATTTATTCGAAAATAGTTATTTATGATATAAGTTCAAAGGAATGGAACACTCCGCCTTCGGCGTCGTGTCCCAAACTTTCCTTTTCACAAAATAAAATGTCACTTTTAGCACGAATGTCATACACTTTATGTATGTATGTATTTTTTCTACAAACGCACTAAAAGTGATTACTTTTAGCACTAGTGCTAAAAGTAATCACTTTTAACACCAGTGTCATAAAATGGCACTTTAGACACTGACAGCATCCGTTAAAAATAACATTTTTAGTGACGTTTGTAGAAAAAATATATTTATTTTTTTTTTACTTTTTAGTAATTTCCTACCAAAATTTTCTTCTCTGTCTCTCTCTAACACATTTAGTTCTTATGGAAAGTGCCAATAATATAAATTTTTTGAATAAGCCCAATATTTCATTGGTTTTGAGACATCAGAAGCTCATAAAATCTGAAGTACACAGTAAGGATCTGTATTTAAAAAAATAAAGTTGATGATGGCCTCCCAAAGACGAAACGTCGAATCTGAAATTTAGTAACAACATCTTGTAAAGGGGAAAAAGTGACAATGAGGAAGTGACATTTATTTTAGAATTGCTCTTCAAATAGACTCTGGAAAAAATAAAAATGATTTTGCAAAATTTCGGTTGTTTCCGAATATCTTCAGAAGTAATTGGAATTTTTCAAATTTCAAAACGCCATTTTATTGGTCATAAAATTGCGCAACTTTGCCATAATTTAACCAACCTCGTATCTCTAATAGTTTCCGATATTTCAATGGTCACCCTCTAATTTGGGTCACCCTGTACATACATATTTGATGAAATTGATTTAAGAATAGGAGAATGGTACGATTTTTCCTAAAGAGATAATTCAAAATCGGTGAGAAACAATAAATAATACAAAATACACTGACAGATACTGCAGCACTTGCGGAAAATCATCCAGATCGGTAAGCTCTATTCAATAATAGGCCCTAATCAGGCAAATTGTTGAAGAGAATCAATAATTGATAATATTAAAACTAAGTGAATTGCTGTACTGTCTATAGATTTTAATCTGATACTCCAAAGAAATATGAGCTGGTGGCTTCCTACGTTGGATCGCCAATGGTCCCCTGACGTCACACCTGTTTTTGCCATATGCTTCACCCCCTTGCTCCTCATACGGAAAGTGTCAGATTAAAAACGACAGACAATACTTACAAATTGAGAAACCAAATTGGGAACTAGAGTTTAATGATAGGTTTAAGCACCTAATACTGCCATTGTGGCACTGTCGCATGGTATACATAATGCCTCTGAAAGATAAATTGCAAATTCCAAAAGCTTCAAAGGTGATGAAAAGAGTTAATTACTTAGATAATCCAATTACTGGAATAGCACAGTAGCGCATGTGAACGTCAAACACATGAATTCCCTCGGCTTATAATTGAATATGCAGAATAGCAGCGATTTTAATTTATCAAGTGAACTTGTCATGTACATATATAAACCTGCATAGGCATTTTCTAAGTAGAAGAGCCGCTTTTGAATTCTGAAATACATTATATTTGAAAATTGAATAGCGAGTGTTAAGTTAAGTTCACTCAAAAACCCCAAAAAAATTTCGTGATTTTATTAAATTGCATGTCTAATTTATTAATATTTTCAACATGAAAAAGTTATTAATGAAATTGGTTGGCTCTTGAGTTTATTTTATAGAAATGAAAATATGGGTTTGCGACTTAGTAGTTTTACTCTAAGTTTTTTTTCTAGTTGTTCAGGAAATCAAAAATTATTTTCTTTCAGAATCTTGCACAAGTGCACACGAAGAATCAATAACGTGTCCTTTAGAAGTAAGCGAATTGGAACCTCTCGAGAACGAACTATCAGATTTGGAAAATAAAATTCCGGTAAGCTGCCTTAATACTTACATAATAAATTTCAGCGTTTTATCGAACAAAGCAAAGAGCAGACTTTTAAAAATAAAGTTCGAATCCACCTCTGTAGACCGTCGGGAATCAAGCCACATGATTAAGAAAGTTTCGGTTGTGTAAGCCTTGTACCGACATCTCAAACTTCAATATTAGTTTGGTCCGAAGAGATTGGAAATCATAAACAAATAATAGCTTGCTTGAAATTGTTTGTCTTGTGTTCCGACAAAGAATGATTGTGTATTTGTTTACATGCTTTAAAACCAAAATCAGTTGCCATTTGAAATTGATTGTTGATAAGTTTTCGCACAAACAGTTTTATATGTATAGAGCTTGGCAATTCCACATCACAATAGGCCTTTAAGATAATTATCAAGCAATTGACCTGGTTAAAATAGAACAATGCGCCTGTACATAATAGTTATATGAGTTGCCTTTTAAGGGCGCTGTGACCTACATTCTGTTATTTTTATTTATTCTAGCTGGCAGAAAGTCCTTTAGAACTCCCCGAACCAAAGCTGATAACTTCGAATCAAGGAAATTCCGACCCATCGCCTTCGTCAGAAATTTTAGAACCATTAAAGCAAGAAATCATATCCCTAAAGCAACAGTTACACGAAGCACATACGAGGCTGGCCCAATTAACGTTGAGTCGTATCGAAGCAGGCGATGAGGAGACTGTAACTTGTAAGGACGATATTGAATGTTTGAAAAAGAACATGCATAACAGTAAAGAGCACGGGTTGGATAATTACAAAATATTCTCGGAAGACTGCAAAACTTTGGACTCCCCAGAAAGTCATATAGAAGTCGATTGCGAACCGAAATCGTATCATGAAGATAAGGCTGATATTAAGTTTAGTAACATAGTGCCCATCCATAAAACTTCCATAATGAAAACTGAGGCGTTTAATATTCCTGTTACCAAAGTAGCAGAACGGTAAGTTACTTTTTATTAGGATATTATTTTTATATACACGGTCGCTCACTGAACAGTTTCCATCTCCTATTCAACAAAGAAAATTACGCTAAAAGTTTGATCTACAGCTGCAATTTTGTTTGGGATAGAAAATTTGAGGTCTTCAAAGATCAAAATGTGGTATATTAACTTCTAAATATTGTTACATAAGTGGGTTCGTGTCAGATAAGTGAGTAAATTAATTCACCTTTATTCAAGAAAATAACACAAAAATCACGAAGAAACTAGCACTATTACAGCATTTTGTTCAACTACAATAAATCTGAACTAGTCACAAAACAAAATAACTCACTGTCTTATTATCGACTTGCGATTTATTGATTATCCGATTGTTAATTTATTCGCATCAGCGGGAAGTGTTGCACAATTTCTCCAACTTGAGAGATTTGAAAGCCGCTAGCTCTTTTAGAAGTTCTCCATTAGCTTTAAAGGTAAATTAACCTCATTTGACACAGGCTCCTCCTTTCCGAATCTCACTTCTCTGCTGGTGTACAGCTACCGATGACCTCTCCTTTTTTCAACGTCCCCACTGTTCCATTTTGTTTGTTTTCGATTGTTTCCACCACCATGGTGGTCAGGTCTTCAGGGCTTCGTTGACAATTCTTTCAACTTGACAGTCCTCATTTGAAGGTGGCGGGAATAGTATTTCTTGGATACCCAGCATTCTGTTTCTAAAGTCCACAGATAGGAAATCGAAGGTTTCTGGTAAATCCATACCTCATCTACTGTCAGCAATTATCTCCGTTCGGTGCTGCCTATTCCTTTTTCCTGAAATGATGAAAGTTTTACTTCGTGTTATCACTTCTTTGGGTTGCCCTACAGCTGCTCAGACAAAGGTTTAGGAGGCAATGGGCGTGGGTTATCTTTATTTGATGTTATTTTGTTGGGCGCCAGGCCTACAATAGGCCAATTAAAATAAAACCAAAAATTTAAAACAATGTAAATAACTATTTATTTAAATAGAGTTAATTTGTTGATTAACTCAAGTAGGCAATTGAAAGCAATTTGCATTTGATATCAAAGTTCAAAATTAAATCTTTCCTGCATCACAAAAGATTTAAAACTTCCATAAATATCTCTAGAAAGTTTCCAGAAAACAAGTTAAATTCGTTTACATAATGAAGTTATTATGTAAGAAGTAAAATACAAAGTTTAAATTCTTACACTCAATTAAGTTGATGTGTAAGAAGGACGAGCAAGTTAGATTCTTGCACAGAAACCTGCGTCACAAAAACCTAACAAAAGTGTCTAATACAAGTTAAATTCTTACATACAATGAAGTTGTTATGTAAGACCTAAGAAAATATTCACTGACGTAACCTAAACCTAACTTTGAGAAACGACAGCTTTGGTTGTAACGAATCTCTTTAAAATTAGCAACAATGCACGATGGAAACCAAGGTCGGCTTACAAGTTACCTACTAAGCGAGTTTCCGGTCGGTACGGCAAGTTAAGTTTCGTGTTCAGTGAACCTGAATCACAAAAATATGCTTTCTAGGGTCTGATCTAGAAAGTTTCAAAACAAGTGATATTCCTACATACAATGAAGTTGCTATGTAAGACTGAAAATAATAATCTTTATGTACGACCCACATTGTAAGAGCTTATAATAAGTTGTATTATCGTACTTAGTGATGTAATGAGCTCATTATATCACTAGTAATGTAATATAAATCACTAGTGATGGAATGAGCTCATTACGTAACTAATTTTTATTAAAAAACGGTACTTTTTAAAATTCATTTATTCGGAAAAATTATAAATATATTCTATTGTGAAAAATTGAAACCATTTCGAATACATAAAAAAAAAATTAGGTCGTACATAAAATGTATATCACACGTACGGTAACACTCATTACAAAACTCGTGTGATTACCAAGAATCGGTCTACGACCTCTCTTGGCAATATTCCCCACTCGTTACTGTAATGAAGCTCATACCGTACTAGTGCTATAAATTACTATTATGCAATTTGAGCAAAACTTTAAAAAATAAGAACATGAAAATAATCAAACTGTAAATAATATAAACGTTGAAGTTTGCCTTGCAATGCAATTAATTAATAATTGGCTTTTTCATATAGCTTCAACTACGCTCTCCCAAAACAAATACTTCAAATAAATAATAAACTAATGAAAATGATATAACAAACTTGAAGTTTGTCTTGCAATGCAATTATTAAAATTAGCTTTTGTTCAATAACCTGGTTATATGATAACCTCCAGTTACGTTCTTGCAAAACAATTACTACAAAAAATAATAAAGAAATGAAAATAATATAAAAAAACTTTTTTTTTTTTTCTCAAAGTCAGCTCAAAGTCAGTCAGTGAATTTTTAAAAAATTCATGAAAATCCAACAATCAATGCCAAACCAACTGTTATAGACCGGAGTTTTCCGCTGGCTCCAATGTTACAAATCTCGGATTATTTCTAGGCCTATTATCCGGTATAAAGTAAAAGTAAAACTCGAAACAACTTGGAAGTGTAGTTTATTTTGACTGATATGAAAAAGTTATGTTCCAAATCGACTGTTACGACCCGACTTTTCGCTATCGATGTTATAATGCGACTGCCTTAACTCCAATTCTAAAACCTAAAAGTAACCTAAAGGGCAAGGGAAATTTTCACCATCTGGAATAATAAAATTAGGAAAAAGTTTTGTGTCTTTGGCGGCAAGAACACATTTGGGTTTCTGCAATAGAGGTACCGAATACCGACAAATGGAAACATCTTGTTGGGATATTGATGTTTACAGGACATTGGTTGTAAAATAATCCTATCCGGCACATCTTTAAAACCTAAATAATCAATGAGTTATAAAGTACCTAATTGATGAGAGACTTAACCTAACAAATGGTGGAATTTATTAAAGGGGGTGTGCACCAAAAAAACAACTTCATCTCAAAAAAAAGAGAAAAAAAATCTAAGAATGACAGCGAAATCCGCACCCCTCTATGACAAATAATACCGAAGATATGGCTCTATGAAGGTACCGCATCTCACCCTATGACATCACGAAAGCTCTTGCGACGCACGAGGAAGTGGAGTTAATTAAATTTACATATGTTTTTCCTGTGTTACCTGCAATAATTTGAACAAAAACCACTCACGCGTGCCGGAAACAATCAAATTAACAATCCGGAGCCCGGCAGGACGAAGTTCTCGTGACGTCACGAGAGCGTCGTCCACACTTTAAAGCGGTATATCGCAGCGATGGTTTATCGTAGAATAACGAGGTTTGAACAGTTATTCTTAGATTTTTTTACACTAAAACTTTAATTTTTGGCGCACACCCCCTTTAAAGAGAGGATTTGTAAAGGAGGATTTAGGAGGAATAATAAATTATGCATTTACTGGTTCACAACACAATATTGGATTGCATAATTATACCAAACAGACAGATATAGTTATAAAATTACATAAATTAGGTATAGTTATAGTACAAAAAATGCTCGATTAAAAAAAATGTTGGTTTAATCAGGGAATCAATAGACCTATCTATTTTTACCTGGGATGCGCGCGCAACACGAGGCAATGCCTTTCTATTGGCTAACTAGTACAGGTAAGAGATGTTCGTTTTGCACGCTGGGCATCTCCGTGTCCTTGTTCATTGCCCGTGGTCTGACAAGAATAAAAGTACGATTGATATTTAACTTGACATAGCTCGACAAAGTGACATTCAAAAATTGTTTGAAATTTTCATTGTCAAATACGTTGCACAACACGCGGTCTTTCTCCTTTCTTTTTTATCCCGTCCAAATAAGAAGAACGGACTGCTATGCGTAAGTCTAAAATAATTTGGTACGTTTTGCCTCGTCTTGCGCAATGAGCGTTCTGCGTCTTTTTTTATCTAATGAAGTTTTCGTATTATTTCCTCTGTGTCTGGTAAAATAGATAGGTCTATTACGCCGAGGAGTTAAAAGTTCAAGATGTAATAGACCTATCTATTTTACCAGACAAAGAGGTAATAATACGAAAACTTTATTAGATAGAAAAAGACGCAGAACGCTTATTGCGCAAGACGAGGCAAAACGTATCAATTTATGTTAGACTTACATATAGCAATCCGTTCTTATTATTTGCACGGGATAAAAAAGGAAGGAGGAAAACCGCGTGACATGCAACGTATTTGTCAATCAAAAACACAAACAATTGAAAATCGTTCACTTGTCAAGCTACGACAAGTTTAATATCAAGCATAATTTTATCCTTGTCAGACCACGGGCAAGGAGATACCCAGCGTGCAAAAGGATTACTTCACACCTGTACTAGTTAGCCAATAAAAATGCATTGCCTTGTGTTGCGCGCGCATACAGGTAAAAATAGATAGGTCTATTAAGAAAAAGTAACTTATCTTGTGCAGTAAATTTCGAAGGTCCTGGCCTGAATCGTAAGGGTTTGCATATGAAACATCCGCGAAGTTTTCCTCACAATAAAACGCCACACAGCAAATGCGGTGTCCACGAAACTCCCAACAAATTTCTCAAAGCCGTCACTGATATTGGTTGACGAAGTCGGCCAACAGCCAAAACAAACGCAGCTCATTGTCAAAAGGACTGCTTTCAAAAAAAGGGACCAGGGGCTTCTTGATTCACAGCAACAAGTAGATAACTTTAAAAGGCTCAAGCTCGTCGATTCATCCAATTTATTGGCATAGAGGAAATGAAGTCAAAACTGGTTTTTGGACTATTAAGATAAAATCTGACTAATAGTCAAAAATTTAACTGGAAAATAAGCTTTAACCAGTAGATAAAAGATTGAACTTGAAGTTGAAAAGGTAAAAGCCTCATGTAAAAGTAGTAAAATCTTATGTAAAAGGTACAAAAATCTGATGTAAAAAGTAGTAAAAGCCTGAAACAAAGTATTTCGCTATAGGATGGCCACGTGCCTTTGATGAAAATTAATTTACCTGGCTTATGCGGACGATTGTGTTCACTAAAATCCCATTTCTGGTTCAAAAATTAAACTTATTTACTTAATCCAGCATACTGCTGTACTTCTTGATAAGAAATTTTAAATTTTATTTTAATTTTTGTGGCTTTAATCGCCTATTCAGGTATCAGATCACTTCTCGTTCAAGTTCTTGCAGCTGAAATGGCCGATATTTTTCGGCGTTTTTCTTAATAGTATATTGTGTATTTAGGTGGAAAAGTGACACATTCTCGGCCGACGGCGGAGAATGTGCTTTTCCACCGAAATACACATACTATTTTTTCTGCAATCGGTTAAATACCCGTTAAATGTTTGTCTTTTAGTTCCAATTATTAAGCAATACGAGAATCACTTTCCCGGCCTAGGCCGGAAAAGTGTTTCCCGTATTGTTATTCATTGATTCCTAAGCAACTATTGAAACATAATTGAAATACCAGAATATTAAGTTTTGCGACCTGTCAACCGGTCAAAAATGCTGACATTTCTTGTCAATCGCAGAAAAATAACCTTTTATTATTAAAAAAAAAAAATGACAATTACACGCTGAAAGCGCCAAAATCTTATAATTGAGGTTAATGCGTGAACGACTTTTGAGGTGCTGCTTTGTTGAAAAGAAAACCCGTAGCGAAACCAACAAAACCACTTCGGTGTTCGAACAGTGGTCCGAACACTGATCTTGAGGAACATCAATATCAGTGGTGGAATTAAGCTTGAGCCTCGACATCATTTCTGCCGTTGTGGGCGCCTTTGGCAACGAGACTAACCAGACTTTCATAATTCCTTTTCATAGAGAACACCCGTAATTTGGGAGCTTGCTTGAGAGTCGATGGTCGACATTGTTCGTCCCTCTGGTAGGGTAGCGTTTTTCTTGATGAAATCTGCCTCGGTGTTCTCGCTTTCTCTGGATATCCTGACTTCCCCTTATTTTTCTCCAGTGTATAAATAACGCTTTGGAAAATACTCCTATGGCTATTCATGCTTAGGTGCAGGTCCGGATCTCTTACTCTATCGATGAAGTACTGAACATTTGTTTGTTCAATAAAGTCTTCTGGAAGTTGTGTTTGCCAACCTGACCATTCTGTCGCTCTCACTACGAAACTCATGCAGCGTCGTCTGAGATATGTGTTTCCATACCCCAGCTCTAAAGCGCCTACAACAGCTGCATAGTCACTTTGTTTCGCCTCAGGAATATTCTGGAAAAATTTGAGTGGCTTCCTCCGTAATGCCAGTACCAATGGTGTTTCTGGCTCACCAACATTTTTCTGTCACTTACGTTGTTGAGTTCATTGTGAAGTTCTTCAGTTTTTTATATTTCTCTCATTTTTTTTGCCTTTAACTTTCTTCTCGGGCTGTTCCTATTTCGCTTCGCGTTTGACTTTTTCTCGATTATATCCTGGGATAATCTGGCGATCCTTTCAATATTATCTTGCTGTCTTTGTTTCCGTTCTTCTTGTTTGTCTTTCAATGTCTTGCAAAATTTTGTAAACCTGGTCCTGTTCTTCTTGGTTTTCGCTGTGTCATCTGCCTTCTTATGCCAGTTTTTCTTTTATTCTCTTCTCACGTTCGCAAGTTCCAATAAATCATTCCTGCATTCTCGAGTTTACCATAGATGAGAACTTCTGCACTCACTTGTACTATACTACTTCTGACAACAATGTTTATGTAAGCCGATTCGTGGATGGAACTTTTCTAAAAATAATTGTAAACGGACTCGGAAAAATAATAATACAAAAAGCGTTACTTCAAATAACGTATATTGCAAACTGAACTGAAAAAAATTATCTTAGGTACCGAGTCCCTTTTTCCCTTGACGCAGCATCATAAAATCTATCTATACTCAGATCGTCGTGTCGGCTCCTCTAAGGTACCGCTAAAGGGTGTAACTTGTCTATACTCGGGTCGTCACGTCGGGGTCCCTGTGGTACCATATTCAGGGTGTTTTTCTTAGGCATGGCTTACATAATTCACACTTATTCCAGACTCTAACACAAAAATCACGACGAAACTAGCCCTATTCAAATTAGAACTCGTAGCTACAATCATTCTTCACTAGTCACAAAACTAAATCACAACCCACTGTCTCAGTATCTATTTGCATTTCACTAATTATCTGATTATCAACCTATTTCCGGTTAATTCTCCACTGATTGAATCAAGTCTAATTTCTCGATGACTTTTTCCCTTGGTGGCCAACTCAGTTTTATAGCGCGTCGTTGCTTCTAGAATCATTGGCTAGATAATTCGCTCCCGTTTGTTTCGAATTCGCTGGACTATTGGGCGAATTTTCGTGTCATCAAGCAATGTTGCAAGATTTTGCACAATTTCCCCAACTTCAGAGATTTATAACAAAATAACAGGAGTTTTAAGTGTTCTTTTACTTTCAGTATAAAACTAAAAAGATCCGCTGATAGAGACGTCAATCCCAACGACTTGCTCAACACGGAGCTGTCGACCGCCGTGGCCGAGCACATTGTCGGCGACATATTACGTCAATGCGACGCTCATACCGAGAAACAATCGTTGGACTTCGAGATCCGGAAAGTGAACGCGAAGTTAGAGCACGCGAGATCGCAAAACACGGTTTTGGCACTGACGTTGAGCGAAACAAAGGCTCATTGTGATAGGTAGGTAACTTAATTGCCTTTAATTACATTCTCGCATGAGTGTTACCCCTAACGACCTTTATTCTATGTCAACTATGAATTTAATGGTCTTTCACTGTCTTATAATAATTAATTTTGTTAAAAGTACCCACCATAAATTTAAATCTATTGTGTCTTGCTTGGAAACAACGTCTTCTTGTACCAAATTCTAATCAAACCAAATGATAGAGTAGTAGTATGTAACATGATTTATTTTTCAATTTTAGGTATAATGTTGGGATTTTATCTATTTTGTACATCTTTCTTTAGTTATGGGAATATCTTTTTTATCTGAAACTTTTCAAAGATCATGTAGACAATAAATAATTTCTCTAAGGCAGATTCGGTTGACTGCTCATTCAAAGCAGAATATAGAAACTTGTATCAAGAAAAACACAGATCTGGATTTGTGCTGGTTCGACTTAGTTTGAATAATGATTGCAAAGTAAAAAGAATCGATAGTTTAAAACTCATTGTAAATTTATGGCAGTCGGTAAATGTTTATTTGCATCATCAATAACAATGTAATGTAGACAGAACAAGAGACAGAAGGTCTGGAAGTATCAAATTGCAAACTCATACTTCTCATCATAATTTTTAAGAATTCAGGATCTTTTTCTGTGGAAAATTGCTATTTATTCATTATTTAAATAGGCAGTTAGAGTGGATACAAGCATTCATTCTACTACTACATAGCTCTACCTAATTTGAAAAAACAACTAGCATGAAAATATTTATAACCAATAACTGAATCAAAGTTTCAAGTTTAAGCTATAAGATAAAAGTATTATGTCACTTGCCAAATATAAATTTTTGTTTGTGGACGAAATTTCAAACTTGTATCCTACTAACTTACAATTACTTTTTACTCAATTAAGTATATTACAATTTAGGTTAGCTCTCCTGTGTGGAAAATACGAATCGAACGCCATCGCGTTGAGATTATCCCTAGGAATAACGGACAGGACCATAGAAGCGTATGACGTACTTTTAGCTTTGTTAGAAACCGAGTTATCGATAAACGAAGAGAACCCACTCACTGTACAAAATCGAACTGCAGCTGAAACTGTGGCTAAGCAACTTCTAAGTCATTTGGATTCTCATCAGAATTCGGACGTTCTTCTCTCGCCTTGGCAAAATCATGTTTATAGTACACCAATAGAAATGTAAGTACCTATTATTATATTATTATTATTTGGAATCATTAGGCAGGAAAAACCAATGAAATAGTTTTGTACAATTTTAATCTAGGGCAGTTTATGAAAGGTAAGCAATTTTTGTATTGAATAAGGGAATCGTTGCATTAGAAGCTATAAACACACGAGGACTCATAGGCGTTAGGGACCTTAGTCTACCAGCAGCGAATTATTTAGTTGTTCGAGATTAGAGTCCATCCTAATTCAATTTGTTACTGTGCGATTTCTGAAGTTCTTATTGTGGAAAATGTCGATTTCCATGGTGTAATATCTAGTATTTTTGGGTTTGTGAATCAGCCTTTTTTTTTCTTAAGCGTAGTGAGGTCAATACTATGCAGTGCTAAGTGGATTAGCATAGTCTCTGAGATCTGAAGGAATCTTGGACGATCTTTTCTGGATTCGCTCCAGGATTTCAATGTCCTTCAGGAAAAATAAGCAACGATTGTTAAGAGAAGAACCTATCCAGTTCAGTAGAAGGCCTTGAACTCCATTTTGCTCCGCCTTGTGGAGAAGTTCCATAATTGAGACTTTATCGGAGGCACGAAACAAATTTGATGTATAATAGAGTCGGAATAATTTAGCATAATGGATAAGAAAATATGCAAACCAGTCACAATTAAGAAAACCGCCCTAGAAATGTGAAAAGACGTACTAGTCTAAGAGCCGGCAATACTTACGGGTATGTGATCGTTGCAATGGATAATTTTTACATAAAACAATAGTTCATAGTAACCTTTTAACCAAATGGATGGGTTGCCTCGATTCTCATGGCCGTAAAGTTGTTTTATAAAAAGATACTTCAAGAACCATAAGCGCAACAAATAAGAAGTACCTTGCGGTGTAGGGGGTTCTCATCATAGGCGGCAAACACTTTATTAACACAATTTCATGTTTTTTTTTTTGTCTAAAGACCTACAGCCGTATGCAAAATCCTCTTCACAGAGTCCTCTTTTAACTTGAAAAGTGACTCTGAAAGCTGTCACTTACGAAAATTTGTATTTAGCACGACTTTCAATGAGGGTTGCCGTCATTTCCGGCCATCAAAATCGAGGCCCCTATATATTATTTGAGAAGACATATTAAAAAATATATCTACCAATTTTCAGCTATTGCAACGATAACATTGTTCCTTCGGTAAAATAGGGGTAGTTTACGCCCAGCCATCAAAGGGTTGCGGCCATGAGAATCGAAGCTACCCATCCATTTAGTTTAAAGGTAACTATGAGCCATTCTTTTATGTGAAAATTATCCATTGCAACGATCACATACCCGTTAATATTGCCGGCTCTCCTACTATACGTTTTTGTTGTTACATGCTATAAATATAGTAGAGTAAAAAAAGACAACTACTTTTCCTAATCGCTTAGTACCGACACCCTGAATATAAGGTTTTACGTTTGCAAGGGTGGTGTGTACCCAGGGGTACCAATGGGACCCTACCTGGGACAAGCAGTAAGAAACAGTAGTTGTCTCTTCTCACTTTACTTTCTTTATAGCATGAGACAACAAGGACGATTTTCTTAATTCTGATTCATTTGCATATTTTATTACCTATTATGTCAAATTATTCCGATTCTACTAAATTCGATCGACAATGAAAAACATCGATAAAGGCGTTGTTGTCAGTCATGGATGTCCAATGGTTGGGGCAGTCGAGTAGGTTGGTCTCAGTCTTAGTAGAAAAAAAAACTGTGTTGCTGGGGGTGGAATAATTTTGCTCACCTTTTTTTTTGTGAATCGGTATGTCAAAAGCCTTTCTCCGCAGTTCCTGTATGGATCTTCGCATAGCAGCTACCAGTTGAAAATCAAGGATGACACCACACTTTGGAAAAACATTAGTGGAATGTCATTTAGTTCTGAGCTAGACTAAGACTTTTGCCGGACAAATTGGTCATCTCCTGGAGGCATCTGAAGTTTGATAGCTCTAGCAAAGACGCTGGAGAAGTTGTCAGAAAAAAAACCACTGCTGATTCGAGTGGGAACGTAAGGGTCCAGGGTTCACCCACATTCAAAGAAAGGGTTCTTTTGATAGGTGTAAAATCTCTTACCTAAAGCAACAGGGTGACCCTCTTCATAATTGGCTCTAGCATATTTTAATTCATTGTTAAAAAGATTCTGTGATTTCCATCAGGTCTTTTCTAGATTGATTCGCTTGCCATGTAGAGAGATATATCTTATAATAGCTTCCTTTTTAACTTCAGTGGACATGACAGTCGTGGGCTCACATTCAGTGAACTTGTTTTCCATAAACTGGGCAATCCCATCGTAGTTGACTTCCCAAAACTTCCATTTGATTTCTGAGATAGTTGCATTTGTGGCGAGGGAGAAAACGTGGTAGCTGCGACCCAACGGGGTCTCCTGGGAGATACCATGGAATAATTTGTATCATCCACTCACAACAATTCCACTTGGTAGTGAGCAGGGGCCCGATTCTCGTCTCAGGGAGTAAATCTCCCAGAGAGAACAAATTTTCCGTCTTTTTCCGTCTTTTTCATTCTCGTTTATTTTTCGATTACGTTGACAAGGTCAAAACATTCGTTCTATCGGGGAGCTCTACTCCCCGAGACGAGAATCTGGCCCCAGGAGGAAAAATTATGCTCCCCAGCTGAATGAGGCTGGAGTTGAGGTAGCACATAAAGAAGTCGCTACATCTCAGAGGGTGCCGTATAGGGTTAAATAATTTATTGCAGTTGACCTTGTTCATAAGGCGTATTTTGCTAATGAAAAATCTTAATAGTTTAAGTCCCCAAACTTATAGAATGATGACGGCAATGAACAAAATGTTTTGCGATAGTTGACAAGTGCTTGGCAGTCTTCAGTAGTAGCTGGGTCGATAAATGCACAGTAAGCAGCGGTAATTCTAATATCACACACCATAAGCTCTAAACAAATGAATCGATGGACGGTGGGAGACTTATACTCTATTTTTTGAAAGCAAGCTTTGCTTGGTCAGCTTGTCCTTTTCATTTATTAGTTCGCCGTTAAACTGTGAAATTTGTGAAACATCCTACCACCCAAGTTGTGCAACCCAGGCAAAATTGGTGCATAGGGGTGGAAAAATAATTTGTTGCAAATCACAACAAAGAAGTGAGGTTAGAAAAGGAAAACTCAAGGAAAATCTTTGTAATATGGATGAAGAAAAATTAAAAAAGATTGTTAGAGGCCTTCTCGTGGAGTTCCTAAATCCTTTCGAAAAAAAACTGGAAGGAATGGAAGAATCTGTCCAATATATGTCGAATAAGTTCGAAGAACACAAAACTGCCACAGACAATTTCATGACAGAACTAAAAGCTCTGAGACAGGAAAATAATGATCTAAAGGAGCGAATAAGGCTACTGGAGACCAGGGCTAACAACAAAGACCAGAAAGAAAAGCAAAACAACATCATTGTCGCCGGAATACCAAAACAAAAAGAAAGTGATATAAAAAAAGTGATTCAGAAAGTAGTGTCAACTATGAAGATAAAAATTGAGAGTGAGGACATCCTGGCAGGCTATAGAATCAAGGAAACCGATGATGCACCAATATTGGTGAAGCTGAAGAATACAGAGTTGAAAGTGCAAATATTCAAGAGAGTGAGAGAACTGAAGGGATTGAAAGTGAAAGAATGTGGCTTGGACGGAATGGACAAAAATATTTACTTCAATGAGGACCTAACATATCAAAATCAAATGCTGTTTAAAAAAGCAAGAGAGCACAAGCGAAATCATCAGCTCACTGCAGCCTATTGCAGAAATGGGAAAATATATATTAAAAAAACTCCGAATGAGCCATCCATTCTGATAAGATGTGAGCAAGATCTCAAACAACAAAATTTGTAAAATAAGTAAGCCAAAAGTTGCATATAAATAATAATCTGTTAAAATGGATTTATTAACGAAACTCAATATTTTATATATTAACATCAGAAGCTTACGAAATAAAATCAATGATCTCATAGAAATAGTCAATAGTAGTCCAAAGGAAATACACATTGTAACCATAACTGAGACATGGGTATATCCCAACGAAACAAACTATTTTAATATACCAGGATATGATGCAACCCATGACTGTAGAGACAAGAGAGGGGGAGGATGCTGTATATTTGTAAAAAATGGAATAAAATTTGGCCCTAAAGATGTTAAATTCACTGAAAATTGCTGTAATATTGTGACTATTCATATAAATAAGACTAACACCATTATAAACTGTATATACAGAGCACCAAAGAGCAATGGTACAATATTTCTTAATGAGCTGAGCACTATAATTGAGAAACAAAAAAGCCAATCAGTAATTATTGGGGATATGAATCTCAACCTTCTCGAAAATACAACTACAGTGAAAGAATATAAAAACCTCATGGAAATGAATGATTATGAAGTCCAAAACACATTAAATATTGAAAATGCAACAAGACGTACTAAAACCTCAGCTTCAATATTAGATCATGTATATACAAATAAAAATCTAAGGTGCAATATTAAATTAAAGGATCACATAATATCAGATCACAAGATTATGTACATAGAGCTTGAAAAATATGTGACACAATATACAAATGAAAGGATAACTAGACAAAAACTTGACTCCCAAAAATGGATTAACATGATAGAGACAAAATTACAACAAGAAGACATACATAATTTTCAAAGACTGACGGAAATGCTGAATAATACAAAGAAAGAATGCACAAGAGAATATAGCTTGAAAATAAAACAAAATAATTATTGGATAACACCAGAGTTTATAAGGATAATAAAAGAAAGGGATAAACTTTATACAAGATGGAAACGAATAGATAACGATGAGACAAAAGAAGCTTTCAAAGGAAAGAAAAACGAAGTGAATAACCTAAGAAAAAAACGAAAGAAATCATATATTGAAAAACGGCTAAATGAAGCTGGAAATGATTCAAAAAAGGCATGGCAGGTCTTAAATGAATTATGTGGAAGAAGGAAACAAAAAACAAACAAGGTCGAACAAAC